CTGCAGACCACCGCGGGGACCGGGGTGGTGTGGGGAGGGGTGGGGGGAGGTTCTTCCTGCTCCCAGGTCTGCTCGCCTCTTCTCCCCTCCCCGCAACTCCTGCCACCCTCACCACCCCTCCCTGGCGGGCTTCGAAGGGAGCCTGGTCTCCCGGTACTAGGCCATTTCAAACGGCCGAGCTGGCACTGGGCACTGGGAGGAGGTGGGAAGGGCTTGCCAGTCGGTGCGAACCGTGTTTGGAGAAGCCGAGATGGGCTGAGGTTTGGAGCGCGCTCCAGCCAGACTGGCACAGACGTGCGGTTCCGTGGGGGCTGTCTCTGCGGGGACACGGGCACCAGGCTCGGGTGGGGCCAGCCCGCACCTTCAGGTTTAGGAACTAGTCCTGCCTGCCTGCGCGCCTCTCCACCGAGTGCGTACAGCGTGTCTCGGGAAGCTTTTTAAAGCTTAGGAATTTATTGCCGAGATTTATGCCGAACTAAAATCGGATCCTTTCTCGGGGCGGGAAATGGGCTAGTTCACTCTGGCTTTGTTGGAGCCTGGAATTTGAGCATTACATGAATTGTGTCTGACGCTGCTCGCTCCTCCAAGAGCCCCTAACCCTGAGGAGAAAACTCCAGTGAGGCCTTGAAGAGAAGGCGCCCCCTTATTTAGGGGGACAGCAAAGGGAACGCCTCCTCGCCACACTGGGTCTTTCACGGAGAGAGGGTGCATGCAGGTGTTCACCTTTAATGTTTCCTCCCAAGTTGTATAAAGCGGCTTTTCTCTCTTTTTTTTCTTCTCCCTGTTCAGTAGAGGCAGGCTGACATTTTTTAAAGGAACATTACTCAATGCTTGGGGGAAGAGGGGAGGAGGATGGGGAGGGGGGGGGAATAAAGTAAAGAAAACAAACTAAAAAAAAAAAAAGGATTTATTCATTTACCCTCCATCAGTATAGCAATCTTGACCCAGATGCTGTGCTGGTGATAATCCCTCAAGCGCTTAGAATCTAGGGGAAGAAAAAGAAACGACTACACACACGGACAGTATTACTGAGGCAGGATAAAAAGAAGTTAGGAAAATTCCCTGGCCAATGGAATGAGGGAAACTGAAACACAATTGTTAAACAAGGCAGAGCAATTGACAACCTGCTAATGAATTTCTAGATCTTATCTTCCCTAACCAGGGACACTTAGGAGCAGATGGTTTATACCTGTTCTCCTCACTCAGAGAGTAATTTAAATCACCCGGGTCAGGGAGAGAGATAACAGAGACCCGGTTAACGCCATTAGTACCAGCCGAACCCCAGAATGGATGAGGTCAAGGGAATAAATAACCAATTATAGCCAGACAAGTCCAAGATAAAAGTAAAACAGTGAGGCTGACCAGAGAATGATCCCAAACTCATTTGGAAGCATCAGCACATTAAAGGACACACCTGAAAAGCTATTGAGTATTCTGTTGAGACCTTCCCCTGAGACTCCCCTAAAACACACACCTTTAGAAAACAAATAAGAACCCTTAAGGCAAAGGATCCAGTGCATACTCTCTTTTGAGCACACCCATGCCCCTCCTCTCCTTAGGCGCATACTTTTACTTTCTCCTGAGCTCCAAGGGTTCCCATGAGACTTGCAACTAGGGGAGCAGTGGGTCACAGCAGCTTGTCCCAGGCTAACCTTCTGAACCTGTCTCTAAGGACTCTCCTTCTGCCTCTGTAACTTGTTTCCTGAGTCCACACAGCCCAGTGTGGCTCACTTCTGTTACTCTGACTTCCATTCTTGAATCTAGGCAGCCCAGTCTAGGCTCACTCCTGTTATCTCACCTCTCCTACCCTAAGCCCTTTGTTTCACTGCCCCCAACTTTAATAAATGTACCCTCAAAATCATCTGGACTCACATTGTGAAATCTTTCCTACACGGAGTCTAGAACCCACACATTTCAGACTGTGCAGGGCCAAACCCCACTCAGTCCCACTCCCTTTCTGGTGGCATTATGATGAGTAAAGGTTCTAGGCCAGTGGTTCTCAACCTGGGGGTCGCGAACAATGAAAATACATCCTGCATATCAGATATTTACATTACAATTCATAACAGTAGCAAAATTACAGTTATGAAGTAGCAATGAAAATAATTTTATGGTTGGGGGACCACAACATGAGGAACTGTATTAAAGGGTCACGGCATTAGGAAGGTTGAGAACCACTGTAGGCTCTGCATGAGAGGAGAAGTTGAGGTGGGGGCACCTAACCTTGATAATGAAGGGAATCAGGGAGGAGGGCAGAAAATTACGTCTGTGGAGAAGCCTGGAAAATGTGTTAAGGCTGAGGGTGAAAAGGAGAATATTCCAGATAGATGTTTTACATGTAAAAGGATGTCACTCTGCTTAACATCCCAGGGACCACCCAGCTCACCTAGAGGAACACCAGCATTTCTTACTATGGCCTTCAACAGTCCACACCCTCCACCCTGATATGTGGATGAGGCTAGCCTGGGTGACTCTCCTTCCTGCTCCTGGTTCTCCATGGCAAGCAGCCATGTCCTAGAAATATGTATGACTTGCTAGAATTAATTTCTACACACACACACACACACACACCAGGCATGTTTATGATGGGTTCACATAAAGAAAAAAGCCTCCGTCAAACAGTAGCAGAAGGTATCCCTTGGTTTAGACACATGCTCTGGGGAGAAACCTTCTCTAGCATTGCGCCTTAGATAAGAAACTATACGTGATTTTTTTCCCACCACGAATTAATGTCTTTCCCCTTATCCTTTCTATTGACCTCCCTCCTTCACACATAACACAGACCCACCAGTCTCAAAGGAAATTCTGATGACAGCCTTTCCTAATTTGTTCAGGCTCTTTCAGACCATATAAAAGAAATGCAAACACATACAACACCCTTACATGCAAGCGTATACAAATATAGGACTTTGACTATTGTCTGAATTTTGTTTTTCTCACTCCAAACATTGTCTGGATGCTTCAGGGCCAACAGATAGAGATTTAACTCATTCTTTTATATTCTTATGTTATGGGTGCACCACACACTCCGTTCCCTAATCATGAAAATCACTTTGCTTCCAGTTTTTGCTACTAAAGACAATGCTACAATAAGCATCTTTACATAAGTCGCCACAGTGTGATGTTTTGTATATATGGGATAGATTTCAAGTGGAATTTCTAGGTAATGAATTCTATTTATATTTATATTTACATTTATATTCATGTGCACATATATGTGTTGTATATTTCTATTTAATGTTGCCAGTTTGCCTCCCAAAAGGGTGTAACATGGCTACATTTCACTAGCAATTAAATTACCCCTTTCCCCCATATCTACTCCAATAATAAGTATTAAAAGTCTTTTTAGTTTTGTCAGTCTAAAATATGTAAAGTATGATAACATAGTGTTTCTTTTCCTGACTACTAGAGAATTTGAACTTCTTTTGAGATTTTTTGGCTCTATGGATTTTCCCTTCTATAAATTGCTTGCTCACATCTCTTGTCCCTTTTCCTGTTGGGAATCTTCCAGTCACTTTTTTAAAATTAAGTGCTCTTTGTATATTACAGGTACAAACACTTGGCCCATCATGAACATTTCCAATGTTTTTCTAATATTATTATTTATCCCTTGATTTATATATCTGCCCTAAAAACTTAACCAATTTTTATGTTTAGCATTTGGGTTTTAATAGCATTTTGGTTTTTAAAAGTCTCCCCAAATTCTTTACATAGTCTCCTATATTTTCTTGACAGCTTTTTATTATTTCTTTTCTTTTTTCTTTTCTTTTCTTTTCTTTTCTTTTTTTCTTT